GATTAAATTCCACATGTAGAGCTTCCAATGAGGTTAGATAAAAGATTGATTAAAATCCTCATGTAGAGCTTCGAATGAGGTTTCATTACTGATTGATCAAATTCCACATGTAGAGCTTCCAATGAGGTTGCATTACTGATTGATTAAATTCCACATGTAGAGCTTCCAATGAGACTGCATTACTGATTGATTAAATTCCACATGTAGAGCTTCCAATGAGGTTACATAACTGAATGATTGAATTCCACATGTAGAGCTTCCAATGAGGTTACATTACTGATTGATTAAATTCCACATGTAGTGATTCCAATAAGGTTACATTACTGATTGATTAAATTCCACATGTAGAGCTTCCAATGAGGTTACATTACTGATTGATTAAATTCCACATGTAGAGCTTCCAATGAGGTTACATTACTGATTGATTAAATTCCACATGTAGAGCTTCCATTGAGGTTACATTACTGATTGATTAAATTCCACATGTAGAGCTTCCAACAAGTTTACATTACTGATTGATTAAATTCCACATGTAGAGCTTCCAATGAGGTTACATTACTGATTGATTAAATTCCACATATAGAGTTTCCAATAAGGTTACATTACTGATTGATTAAATTCCACATGTAGAGCTTCAAATGAGGATACATTACTGATTTATTAAATTCCACATGTAGAGCTTCCAACAAGGTTACATTACTGATTGATTAAATTCCACATGTAGAGCTTCCAATACATTACTGATTGATTAAATTCCACATGTAGAGCTTCCAATAAGGTTACATTACTGATTGATTAAATTCCACATGTAGAGCTTCAAATGAGGTTACATTACTGATTGATTTAAATCCACATGTAGAGCTTCCAATACATTTCTGATTGATTAAATTCCACATGTAGAGCTTCCAATAAGGATACATTACTGATTGATTAAATTCCACATGTAGAGCTTCAAATGAGGTTACATTACTGATTGATTAAATTCCACATGTACAGCTTCCAATGAGGTAACATTACTGATTGATTGAATTCCACATGTAGAGCTTCCAATGAGGTTACATTACTGATTGATTAAATTCCACATGTAGAGCTTCCAATGAGATTACATTACTGATTGATTAAATTCCACATGTAGAGCTTCCAATGAGGTTACATTACTGATTGATTAAATTCCACATGTAGTGATTCCAATGAGGTTACATTACTGATTGATTAAATTCCACATGTAGAGCTTCCAATGAGGTTACATTACTGATTGATTAAATTCCACATGTAGAGCTTCCAATGAGGTTACATTCCTGAATGATTAAATTCCACATGTAGAGCTTCCAATGAGGTTACATTAATGATTGATTAAATTCCATATGTAGAGCTTCCAATAAGGTTACATTACTGATTGATTAAATTCCACATGTAGAGCTTCCAATGAGGTTACATTACTGATTGATTAAATTCCACATGTAGTGATTCCAATAAGGTTACATTACTGATTGATTAAATTCCACATGTAGAGCTTCCAATAAGGTTACATTACTGATTGATTAAATTCCACATGTAGAGCTTCCAATGAGGTTACATTACTGATTGATTGAATTACACATGTAGAGCTTCCAACAAGGATACATTGCTGATCGATTAAATTCCACATGTAGAGCCTCCAATAAGGTTACATTACTGATCGATTAAATTCCACATGTAGAGCATCCAATAAGGTTACATTACTGATTGATTAAATTCCACATGTAGAGCTCAAATAAGGTTATATTACTGATTGATTAAATTCCACATGTAGAACTTCCAATGAGGTTACATTACTGATTGATTAAATTCCACATGTAGAGCTTCCAATGAGGTTAGATTAAAGATTGATTAAAATCCTCATGTAGAGCTTCGAATGAGGTTTCATTACTGATTGATCAAATTCCACATGTAGAGCTTCCAATGAGGTTGCATTACTGATTGATTAAATTCCACATGTAGAGCTTCCAATGAGACTGCATTACTGATTGATTAAATTCCACATGTAGAGCTTCCAATGAGGTTACATAACTGAATGATTGAATGCCACATGTAGAGCTTCCAATGAGGTTACATTACTGATTGATTAAATTCCACATGTAGTGATTCCAATAAGGTTAAATTACTGATTGATTAAATTCCACATGTAGAGCTTCCAATGAGGTTACATTACTGATTGATTAAATTCCACATGTAGAGCTTCCAATGAGGTTACATTACTGATTGATTAAATTCCACATGTAGAGGTTCCATTTAGGTTACATTACTGATTGATTCAATTCCACATGTAGAGCTTCCAACAAGGTTACATTACTGATCGATTCAATTCAACATGTAGAGCTTCCAATAAGGTTACATTACTGATCGATTAAATTCCACATGTAGAGCTCAAATAAGGTTACATTACTGATTGATTAAATTCCACATGTAGAACTTCCAATGAGGTTAGATTACTGATTGATTAAATTCCACATGTAGAGCTTCCAATGAGGTTAGATTAAAGATTGATTAAAATCCTCATGTATAGCTTCGAATGAGGTTTCATTACTGATTGATCAATTTCCACATGTATAGCTTCCAATGAGGTTGCATTACTGATTGATTAAATTCCACATGTAGAGCTTCCAATGAGACTGCATTACTGATTGATTAAATTCCACATGTAGAGCTACCAATGAGGTTGCATTACTGATTGATTAAATTCCACATGTAGAGCTTCCAACAAGTTTACATTACTGATTGATTAAATTCCACTTGTAGAGCTTCCAATAAGTTTACATTACTGATTGATTAAATTCCACATGTATAGCTTCCAATAAGGTTACATTACTGATTGATTAAATTCCACATGTAGAGCTTCCAATGAGGTTACATTACTGATTGATTAAATTCCACATGTAGAGCATCCAATGAGGTTACATTACTGATTGATTAAATTCCACATGTAGAGCTTCCAACAAGTTTACATTACTGATTGATTAAATTCCACATGTAGAGCTTCCAATGAGGTTACATTACTGATTGATTAAATTCCACATATAGAGCTTCCAATAAGGTTACATTACTGATTGATTAAATTCCACATGTAGAGCTTCAAATGAGGATACATTACTGATTTATTAAATTCCACATGTAGAGCTTCCAACAAGGTGTTACGTGAATTATTTAACAAACTATTTTAGTGTCTCTGTGCATCTCCCAAAAGGTTGTAAGTCTTTTGGGATTTAAGTAACGGTAGTAGTCAGAGATATTTATTCATTGAGAATTCTGCCATCACAATTTCAGAGTCCATCTTTTATACTCATACGTCATACAAAAAGAAATCCCTTCCCTCTGTAGGCGGGCTGTAGTTTTCCACTCTAAACTGCTCTACTGACCTTCAGTTCACACACACACACATATACACACATGCATACACACATACATACACACACACACACACATATCCTACTCCCTGCTTTACTCAGTTATTGCCGTTCTCACAATATTCTGCACCATGTTTTCATAACAGTTTCTCCCCTCCCTAAATTGGGAGGCCTCTTTATCTTAGTTTCTCAGTTGTCTTTGTTGTCTGGCCTAACTCTTACTCACATTGCTAAATAGTGGCTCAATGCCATAGCCTTTACTGGTCCTACACTCACACATTTCTAACACATTATACACAGTTTCAGGGTGTAATAATTAGTCATTAATAATTAATCTATCAATTCCACCCTTTGACTAAATATTACACACATACAAAACATATGTTGTTATAGAAATGAATCACACTCATTGAAGTATATAAGTTGGTTTGCATATTAAAACATTACAGGTTCATCAGGGTTACCCCATGATTAAAAGCATAACGTTACTTTTTAGCAATGGTAACTAGTACATCATACTTAAAACGAGACTTTAATACACAAAAGATCATTACAATAACTTTTAAACTAGAGATTTATAGTTCTAGGAAAACATTCAGTCTCAAAGTATCTGGATCGTCGTCGTCCTCCACCAAGCCTGGTAGGTCATATCCTTAATTCCTTAGGTCGGAGTCCGGGATTGGGCCGTATCTCACCATCTGTTGGGAAACCGCCTTGCTCACCAACCCTCAGACACAGGGAATAAGACAACATCCACAAAGAACAAGTATACCCATAGAAGCTATAACTTCACCCAGAATAGTTACAACAATAGTTTTCCATTTACCAAATATGTTATCAAACCAACCGTTTAGGGAGCTATCAATACCAGAGTTCTCAGCCAGTTCGTTCCCAGT